AGTTACACCCAAAAATAGCAACAATATAAAGTATTAAAAAGAAACAGTATATAAGGATCTAAGATATACTGTACACTAAATACTAATAATGTAAAATATGGTGTATTAAACAGCAGCCCGAACATGAGTCTGTAGTGAGCAAATGGGTATGAATACAGCAAATTAAAAGCAAGAAATCAGCAGCATGCTGAAATCTATGTATTCAAATTAATTAATTATATTAATAATTTATAATTTACATAAAATACACTTTCTGCTGTCATTGTTTGCTAAAACACAACAGTCCCATGGCACCCAGGATCATTTATGTTTCAAGCATTTAATAAACTGTTAATAAGATGTTTATATAGTTAAAGTTGCATTGTATTAATTTTAATGGAATACTAAAAATACTAAATACCAGAAATACTAAAGCATGCAATAAGGGTACCAAATAAAGTACCAAAAAAGTGAAAAAATATATAATATTTACAAGGTCCAAAAGAAATAAACAGTAAAAATGACAACACGGTAGAATATAATGGTGCAAGTAGGATGAATTAGTATGAATAAATATTTCACAGGTAGTAATATAAGTTTAAATGTACATGATACATATTGCACTTAACTGACAGGTGATTGCACAGGTAGTGAGTGACTTTGAGATTAATTGAATTGTGATGGTAAGCAGTGGCGTAGTCTACACGATACGCTGGTATACTGAGTATACCCACTAGGAAAGCTTAAGAATGTCAGTATACATATTTTAAAGTGCCAAATGATCCATGACATATCATTAGACACGTCAATGATACGTTAAACAGCAGTTAAATTCTTCTGTAACTATCTTTACACAGCGCTTGTTTATTACATTCACTTATCCAGCAAATTATTGTGTACTTTTGTACTTACTACTTAATACTTCAACACGTTTTGCTTTGATACGGTTTTATAAATTCTATAACATGTTTTTAATGCAAAGCCAACTGTTGTACAAAGTTTGTTGTACATTTATTCAAATATAAGCATCAGAGAAATTTGTAATTGTTCAATGTGCTTAAAAAAAATCAAGAATTGACGATTACAGTGTACTAACCAGTGTACTTTGGTTTCAAAGCACAGTATACCCACTACAAAAATGTAGACTGCACCACTGATGGTAAGGCAGTGACATACATGATGCAGCCACATAGTGCAGCAGCAATAAACATATTAGTTGTCACAGATGTGGTGTAATGCGATTGTCAATTGTTCAGTATTGTCATCAAGAGTTTAATCTGACCGTTGTGGATAAAAACAATCAGAGTCTTTTTGTGCGCGATGGCAGACTCCTGTACCGTCTGCCTGAGGTACGGTAGATGGAAAAGTTCAGTAGTTGGTGCTTGGTTGCACCCAATCAAAAGATATTTGAGGTGTAGTCAAATCGTCTGATTAGCTGTGGAGGGCAATCAAGTTCAAGCAAACTCCAGTGTTTGAACGTAAGGGTCTTCATCAATCTTGAAACACAAAGTATTGCCTTTTTTTACCTTAATGTAGTAAAACTGATACATTTCAGCTTGTTTTTCTTCAGAGTGAATCTTTAATTTAGATGTTCCTGATCCTAACGTGTCAGTTTTTCATTCCGGGGAGGTTCTTCCAGGCCGCAGTCCTGAAAAATCACCGTTTAAATCGGCAGCCGTTCTCGTGTGTGCTTATCTTCAGGCAGGGAACTTGTAATCTCCTGCTAACTGCTTGCAAGAAGATGAGGAAACAACAACAAATGTCCATTAATTAGCTGGGCTAAACAGCTCTCCACGGCTGGAGGGAAACAACATGCACATGTTTGCATCATACAGTGGAGAAAGGTGAGAAGGACATAAAAGTGAAGCAAATCCTCACAGCAGCAGCTCATCTTCTGCATTTCAATTCGTCTCCAAATTAGTCATCAAAAGAGGTCAAATGACAACATTCTCGTGACTCGGATGCAAAATCCAGCGCTTACAATGCAAACATGGACTTTGGCATCAATATTCCCTGTGTGAGCCTAATCTGTGAGAGGCTGAACAGCAATGAAGTCATGCTCTTTAACAGGGAGAACTAATAGAATGTGAGACTGCGGGAATACTGCAGACACTGATAACTGGGAATGTAGGAGACTACGCAACAACGACATATTTATCCACTTTGGTGTTCAAATATTTTGCTGTTGATCTAAATCAAAACAATAAAAGTATCTTTTTTAATTAATGACTCACAGTTTCAGCGAGATGTGACTGAATTTGTGCAAAATAATAGGATTTCTATAAGTACCGCAAAAAAACGAAAAAATTGTGCGATCAAAGTTGCACTAGTCGATATTTGGTCATCGATCCATTTTATGGATCCAATGACAAATCTGTAATGCAAACAGAAAAACGAAACGGACAAGCAGGCGATGATTTGGAGGCTTTGACCCGACCAGATCGGTGGTCAGCTTGGTCCAAATCAAATAATGGTTTTTATTAGAGCCATCATGGTTTGTAGATGTAAGACCCAGGAATGGAGACTGACACAAGGAGCTCAAGCAAAAACTTAAACTTTATTAAAACTAAACCAAAGTCTGACGTGGAAGCAGCTAGAAAACAAAATAAAATCTGAGGGCACACAGGGAAGAACTAGACTTGGCATGAAGCACAACACAATGCCAGACTGAAGGTGAAGCAGAAAGCTGAGAGTCTTTTACAGACGAGAGGAGTGGAGACACCTGGGAGCTGGGAACAGGTGAAAGTGGGCGGGGCTGGAGCCAAGAATGGTAAAGTATTGAGGATATTTGGAAACACAGGGAGACAATGAAAAACTGAACAGAAAGAAATTATAAACACAAAATATAAGAAAAGTACTCAAAAACAGAAAACTAATCTCTAAAACACACAGATCATGACAATCCATGTTAAAGTTGAAGATTTATTTTACTCTGATGTGATTTAAAGGCATTTTTTTTTTCTCTAAACCCTGTTAATGATTATGTTGGATCAAGTCGAGGCAACAGGATTTCTGGTAACACCTACTAATCAAGCAAGCATATTTGGAATTTGAATCTGATCATATCGACTAGGGATGCACGATATTATCGGCATGGTATCGAATCGGCCGATATTAGAGTTAAAGTTAAATATCGGACATCGGCCATTCCATCAAAAATAATCACCGATATAAAAGACGCTGTTTTTGTATGACAACCCAGTGACAAGAACGCCGCCTACCTGATCTGATCATGGCGATGTGGAAGTTTTTTCCGTTGGTGAGGATGTCGGATTTCGAAAGTTTTTGGACTACTTTGAGCCTCGCTACATCGTCCCCAGTCGGAAACATTTGTCTGACGTAGCCTTACCCGAGTTACAAGCCATCATTTCTGAAGTCATTGAGAAGCTACTAGCCGACAGCATCGCAGCTGACTAATGCTAATAAATAACATTTAACACTTTTCATTTAATAGAAGTTAAAGTGATATGCATTTCATATGGCTGTTACTGAATATATGTCACCAGCTCTTACAGCTGTTACACATGTTTGTAGCAAATAAGCCTAAATAAGAGGAATATGTTCTGACAAAGGAACGTATATAAAATATTGGTATCGGTTATCGGCCAAACAAGTTTTAACATATTGGATATCGACCAAAAAGCCAATATCGTGCATCCCTACTATTGACCACATTTATCAGAGCTTGGGTCAGACCCAGAAATTGCTGGAGAAACTACATTTTCCTTCAGGGTTGAGAACGTCTCATGAGCTGTAGCGTGTCGCAGGAGGAGGAGGCACGTCTGGGGTTTCCTTCCTGGACGTTACCTCAGCAACTCCACTGTGAACTACAATGGATCGATGGACTAGTAAACGAGGCCGTATTTTAGTATAAATTAGGTAATTTATTTTCAATATCATCAAAGTCCCCAAATATATTTTTGATCCATAGCAGTCATGTTTTTAAGCCAACCTTATTTATTTGTAAAATCATGGATAAACAAGAATATAGTACAAGAAATGTGGATGCCCCCAAAGTTAAAGCGTAAAAGATAATTTCCACCTGACTAGATTTGCAAAATATGAAAAACCAGCTATGCTTGCTTGTTCAAAATACAATGTTAAGATTCAACTGAACTTTTACATTAAATCAAGCACATTAACTTTAAACTACTTGTTGCAAACTATGAGTTAAAACATTAAAAAGGTTAAAAGTGTACAGTTTGAAGGAGTTTACTCCCGTAGTTCTCTAGATATATTGATGTGCAATTCTGAAATGCAGGTATGCACTTAACGTAAACGTAGCACATTAAACACTTGTGACTGACCGTATTGAGGCTGGCTATAGTCTGTGTCTGTAAATAAATAAGGTGGAATGGATAAACGTAGAATCTTGCAGATGTTTAGGTGGAAACATAAGTGTGTCTGTTGCAAAAAATGAACAATTAAAAAAGATTGAACTGTAAAAAATAAATATCAAGACAGAACTCACCATATAAACACATGCAGATTAAAATGGTTTTTCTTAGCTCCTTTAAAAAAGGAGGTACAAACTGTGGTCAAATGTGAACAAGAAAAATTGGCACTAAATATATATAATAAAAAAAAAACAAAGCTATGAATTGGAGTGCAGTATTTAAAGCCCAGATCATTAAAAAGGTATAATAAAGTTTGAAATAATGAAACAACTCGCCTGTAGCTGGTTTAGCATCATGTGTGTTATTGAAAATTTTGAGGCCATGTGAGTATCAAGAAAGGAATTTCCTCAATGTGCAGATCCAGTAAAAACAGGCCAGTCACTTTCACTGGCAAAGAGTCTGTTCAAGAGTCAAATATTCTCCATTAATCCTGCAGATAAACACATTCTTTCACAGCAGCACAGACGCCATAAAAATCTAACTTTTTACACGTTAGTTCTATTTCCTGTACGTTTCAGTTAGAATCACTTCAGTTCTGCTTTAGGAACAATTTGAAAAGTAAATATTTATTTGTATTTACTGTGTGGAGGCAAGTCATTTTTATTAGCAGATGCGTCCTCCTACCTTTCCTGTGGCGCTGAGCGGACACCTGCAGGCTGATCAGGTAAACACCAGCAAGTAAAATCCACCATGGTGCCATTCTGGTGACCTCACACTCTGATCTTCTGACACAAAGCAGCTCGCACGCTCTTCTTGTCACGTTGGCCGTCATAAATCTGATGTGCACTTTAATGTGCAGGAGGTTTTTTTTTTAGATATTGCCTCCACCCTCCATTCTCCATCCTCTCTCACACGCCCTCCTTTCTATCTTTGTGTGTGTTTTTTCTTCTTTCAGGCCAGACAGTCTGGACTCCCATCTGGAAATCATCAGGATTTGGGGGAACGTTTGCCCTCTTGGATGGACTTTTCCTTCCAGCCACTGGAACGATGCTGAACAATATGACCTGGTTGATTTGTTAACATGACTGGATTACTGGTTAGAAAGGTTAGGAACAGTTAATAGTGCTAAGGTGTGAACTGAGCTTAGATAACTTGTTTTTTTTTCTTTGTCTTAGGTGGCACAGTGTGACAGATCTTGGCTAGCAGAGGCAGAAATTTTATCCATCATGAAGGCACAATGGTGAAGCCAGGGGGTGACTATAGCACAATCTCCAGCCAGCCCAATCATTGGTGGAAACATACATTTAAGTAAATAGTAAATGGACTGCACTTACAGTATATAGCGCTTTTGTGTTATCAAGATACTCAAAGTGCTTTACACTACAATCAGTACCCTCATTTACTGTATTTCGGCTTATAAGTCATGTTTTTTTTTTTGCAAAATTTGCATGCCGTGTGATTTATACGCCCAAGTGATGTGTTTATGGATTTCCCCCCACATTTATAAACCAATTCTTGCCTGAGATGTGATTGTTTTCATTTATTCTGACTGAAAATATTGAACACTACCATTTTCTGCCGCTAGATGGCATTCGAGGTGTATTGCATGCCGTTGTGTCATGTAATAGGTAAAAAGTGGCTTTTAATGACACAGATGACTTGCATAGCAAGCCACATTTGTCCAGCTCGCCTGGAGCAACAGTCTAATCAGTTTAATTTCGCTGTGCTGCCCCGGCGAAATGAAACTAATTTGACCATTAAAGTGCATTTATTAAGCAAAAGTTCAACTGAGACACACCTTTACTATAAAGTCGAGCAAACAAATAATTGTTTTTAGGTGATTATTTTGTTAAATTTTGAAGAAATGCACAGCGTTCCTCCTTCCTGATTTCCTCCCTCAGAGCGCGCACCCAGAGCACCGAGACAGCAAGTATTTTTGTAATGCAGCAGATTTGATCCTCAAAGTGCATTTATTAAGGAAAAGATAAACTAAGACACACCTTTGGTATAATGTCAAGCAAACAAATAATTGTTTTTAGGTGTTAATCTCGTTAAATTCTTGTTAAAGTCTTCCTATGCACGCTTGGCCGCCATTTGGCAGCCAATTGATTTATGGCACAACACCGGCCCACATTTCCAGGTTGTTAGCGGTGATGCATAATAGATGCGACTTGTACAGCGAAGTGATGTATTTATGTTTTTTTTCCCCACTTTATTAGACATTTGTTTTGTGGGCCAGCTACATTTTTCAATAATGTTGAGGAGACCAGGGTAAGTCTTTCTAGAATACCCGATGGTATAGTTGTATGAACAGATAAAATTGAGCTATAAAAAGGAAAATGGCAACATACTTGCATTTAAACATGGCGGAGGTTTTTATAAAAATGTTGGGGAGCTTAAAATCAACTATTACACAAATTTAAAAATTACAAATCTATTTATTCAAACAATGTATACCAAAACATCAACTAAACATACAGGCCCACATGTCCGGGTTGTCAGCAGTCACGCATAATAGATGCAACGTATACAGCGAAGCGACGTGTTTCTGGATTTTTCCACTTTGTTAGACATATTTGGTCTGATGCAACTTATATGGCGGTGCAACGTGTATGGCAGAAAATACAGTACACATTTATACAGCACTCTACTAGATCTATACAAAGAATAATCAGAGCTTTATCACATTCATACACCGATGGGACACACATCAGAGGCAATGAGGGGTTCAGTGTCTTGCCCAAGGACACTTCGGCATGTGACTGTTGGCGGAATCCCACCCCCAACTCTTGAATTGAAGGACGACTGCTCTAACCACTCAGCCACAGCTGCCCCAATATAAGTAATATAAAAGTGGAAAGCAGTTTTCTCAAATGATTGGGGTGGCCGGTTTTCAAATATGGTGGTGGCCATCTTGGATTTTGCCCTGGCAGCCCAGTTTTTGATAATGACCTTTCTTACACCTAAATGTAGCCACATAGCAAAATGGAAGTCAGTACCTCACTTATTTGTTTAAGTTGTCATGCTCACGACATACATGGTTGGCTGGTCGAACGGTATTTCCAATTCCCTGTTTTTCACGACGGAGGACAACAGACAGACAACAAATAGGTATCAACAAAAATCAAATAGTGAAAATTTAGGAATTTTTTTAATTATTATTTTAGCACCATGTAATTATCTCAACTATCAGAACCTGATTTAACCAGAACTAATCTTATTAATTCATCAGCGATTTACTGTAAATGTTAGAATAAAAAAAATAAAATAAAAATGCATTAAGATCACAAATAGGGCACTGAGAATGCTTTCCGACGGCGTGTGAATGAAAACTGTCATTTAAAACCTTAAATTGGGTTTTCAAGTTTGTACCAAAACTATTTAGCTGCAAAGTCTGTTCATTATTTGTTTACAATCACACAAACCCTTCCCCATTTTAATTTATGGAACATTTATTATTTGGGCTGCTCTTTAAAAATCCCAAAATTTATCACAAACCTTTTCAAAATAATCTGACACTTCGTGACCTTAAGATGACCTCTGACATTTCTGGAAGTGTTCATTCAGGACATGTCATCATGATAAAGTTGGCTTTTGTCATTCTAATATACTGCTTGAGATGATTTGTTTATTCACCTTTCTATAACCTTTATAGTTTTTTTTAGTGTAAAAAGCAAACAGTCGTCAAGACCGATAAGTAAAAATAGCACATTTACGTCAATGCGAACACTAAAGATTTAGATTAAAGGCTTCATTAAATCTACATTTGCACCTCAGCAAAGCTCAGTGCTTTTTATTGTCACTGAATATGTAATAAATGTGTCTAAAGCACTCAACAGTCAGTTGTGCAGGGATTCTTGATCTGAGCTCCATCAAGGCCGCATCTTAATCGCCCACCACCACTTGTGTATGTGTGTCTAACAAAATAGTTCATGAACCACTGGATGATTCTGAATGAAACTTTATGAGAGGAATCAGTGAACATGCATCTACAATTGATTAACTTTTGATGTCAAGATCACTGCTGCAGCTAATTGACCAACCTCAAAATAGCTACAATTCAGTCAGGTTTCGGAATATTTAGCTAAAATTTGATGTAATAGTTGAGAGTCATGCCTCACTTATACTTTAAGTGCTAACTATTTGTCATATTTATAACCACACAGACTTCAAGTTACATAGCTAAAAATGGATGAAACAGAATTATTGTGAGAGATACAGGAAGATGAGCACAAGCTTATGAACATGAGGTGGAAATAAACCAGGTTAGCTGTTTCACAAGTAAATTTCCTGGATGTATTATTGTTAGAAGACGAGCTCTTACATCTTGTTTGTTTTGCAGGTTTCCAGGAGGACATCTGAGAATTCCTTGGAGTCCAGAGAAGGTAACCAGGAGGATGAGCTGATGAGGAGAGAGTGAACAGGTTCAATATTGAAGACACCTGGTGCCACAGTTTAATCAGCTAATTTACTCAAAACACTTGCAAAGGCCTTTAAATGGTCTCTCAGTTTAGTTCTGTAGGCTACACAATCAAGGTGAACGCTGCTGACTTGACAGTTGTCCAAAAGACGACCATTGACACCTTGCACAAGGAGGGCAAGACACAAAGTGTCATTGCTAAAGAGGCTGGCTGTTCACAGAGCTCTGTGTCCAAGCACATTAATAGAGAGGCGAAGGGAAGGAAAAAAGTATGGAAGAAAAAAAAAGTGTACAAGCAATAGGGATAACTACACCCTAGAGAGGACTGTGAAACAAAACCCATTCCAAAATGTGGGGGAGATTCACAAAGAGTGAACTACAGCTGGAGTCAGTGCTTCAAGAACCACCATGCACAGACAAATGCAAGACATGGGGTTCAGCGGTCACATTCCTTGTGTCAAGCCACTCTTGAACAAGAGACAGCATCAGAAGCATCTCACCTGGGACTGCTGCTGAGTGATCCAAAGTTGTTCTCTGATTAAAGTAAATTTTGCTTTTCCTTTGGAAATCAAGGTCCCAGAGTTTGGAGGAAGAGAGAAGAGGCACAGAGTCCTCATTGCTTGAGGTCCAGTGTCAAGCTTCCACAGTCAGTGATGGTTTGGGGTGCCATGTCATCTGCTGGTGTTGGTCCACTGTGTTTTCTGAGGTCCAAGGTCAACGCAGCCGTCTACCAGGAAGTTTTAGAGCACTTCATGCTTCCTGCTGCTGACCAACTTTATAGAGATGCAGATTTCATTTTCCAACAGGACTTGGCACCTGCACACCGTGCCAAAGTTACCAGTAACTGGTTTAAGGACCATGGTATCCCTGTTCTTAATTGGCCAGCAAACTCGCCTGACCTTAACCTCATAGAAAATCTAAAGGGTATTGTGAAGAACAAGATGCGATACACCAGACTCAACAATTCAGAAGAGCTGAAGGCCACTATCAGAACAACCTGGGCTCTCATAACACCTGAGCAGTTCCACAGACTGATCGACTCCATGCCACGCCGCATTGCTGCAGTAATCCAGGCAAAAGGAGCCCCAACTAAGTATTGAGTGTTGTGTTCATACTTTTCAGTTTGTGGGATTCTCCGTTTTCCCCATTAACCTCCTTCTTCCCCAGCAGCTAATCAGCTGATTAGCTACACCTCACCGCCTGCCTGATCTGCACCTCCTGCTCTATTTAAGCTTCGACCAGACGTTCAGCCGACGCTGGAACATTTATTAACCTTGTTCCTGTAAGTCCTGCCTGCTCAACTTCCTCCTGGTTCCCTGTCTGCGTCTGGTTGCCAGTTC